CTTAAGTATGCTGATCATTTTCGTTGGTCTTTATTTGAAGGCTAAGAAAATTTATTATTTTAATAAAAGTTTAAATGGAGAGATTTGAAGTTCACTGAAATGTTGTATTGGTCACATGATCCCCACTCATAACATTTGGTGAATTTTGCTTTTAATTTTTGATATCAATCTTTAATATTAAATTCAAAGATTTGATGTTATGGCACTCGGAGAGAATCCCCATTTCAGTTTTAACCTGCCCTTATTACTTCAGTTTCAAAAATATTTAAAAAAAAGGTTTCAAAAATCCTGTCACCGAATTTTTTTTATGGAATAGACTGAATATCCGCCACAATAAAGTGTAGCTTTGGTTCAAAGTAAAGGTTTTCTTTACTCTTCTGTAGTGACCCACTCATTGTTTTTACGCTCAACGACCTAGATAGATGTACTTAGTTGTGGCACTCGAGGAACCCGCAGTTCTGACATTACTGTTTTAGACATACGAACTTATCACTATTATGTAATAAGTGTACTTTGGTTGTTTGACTACTCTTCTGTAGTCTCATTGTCTTACGCTCTGAATAATTGTAGTGGGTTCAACCCATTATTACGCACGGTTACGTTTTAGTTCATTGTTACACGGTTAAGGTTACCCTCACGGTGATGGCCAGCATGCTACGACCTTTCCAAGTCGGGGCGTGTTAGTCTCCCATACGATCAAGTGCTAAGAATTTCAATAAAGTTTGTTGATGCACAAAATCAGTGAGCACTTTGGTACAACATAAAGTGTTAAGTTTGTGACCTTCGCTAGATTGCTCCGGTCACTAGTGTGGATAAGTATGTAAATGGATAGGGACAGGGAAGCAAACACAAGATGTACGTGGTTCACCCAAATTGGCTACGTCCACGGAGTAGAGGAGTTCTCATTAATTATGAAGGGTTTACACAAGTACATAGGTTTAAACTCTCATTTAGTGAGTACTAGTGAATGATTTAGTACAAATGACATTAGAAAATATTGTAGGAGAATGATCTCTTTTTATAGAAGAGTTTCTAGCTTTGTTCTGACATTGACACGTATCGTGTTGTGATTGGCTTCTGATGTTGACACGTGTCGCACTGTGATTGGCTTCTGATGTCGACACGTGTCGCATTGTGATTGACCTCCTGGTTGGAGGGAAACTCTTCTGGGTCATTGACAGCATAACGTTGACCGGTGCTCAGTAGTTTCGGAATTGGTCAACTATGGTACAAACAGTGCTCCCCTAAGTTCCCGAGTGAGGGAAGCTTCTCGGTTGGGGACTTGCAAGATCCAAGCCACTGAGTAATCACGAAACTTCTAAGTACCGAAGTGTGGTATCGTCTTCACTTGCCTTATCTGTCTCATAGGTAGATGTGGCATCTTCTCTGGAAGTACTCTTCCTCCATCTAGGGGTGATATCTTTAACCGATGGAGATGCACAAGGTAATGTATCAATTTCACTTGAAGCTTACTTGTAGTTTCAGGCTTGGTCAAGCGCGATACAAACCATGTAGTAGGAGTCCCCCAAGTCGCCGAGCTAGGAGATCTGCCGAAAGAGGTGACAGACAAGTTAAGCAATCAGAGCTCCAAGCAATCAGTCCCAAATCAGAAGTTTGATTTCGAGTTTCGGCTGATTGTTCTCATTCTCCCTATCTTGCAGGCAGCATGAAGGATAAAGAGAAGAAAAAAGGGAAGAGATGATATGAGATACTTTTTCTTTTGAAGAAGTAACTTTCCACATGCTTATTCTTGAACTGGGCTGGAGGGTTTTCTGGTTTCCTCCAAAGTATAAGGCGAACTCAAAAATTTGAGGGTCAAAACAAGTCCATCAAATTTAGAGTACGTTCGACCCTGATGATATGGGATACTTTTGTTGTTGACAAAGTAGTGGATGTATCGGCACGTGTTCTGTTACGCTTGTCTCCACATGTTTCCTTGTATCATTCTCACTTGCCCTATCTGTTCCTCAGGTAGATGTGGTATCTTCTCTGGAAGCATAAGATGTTGAAGATGAGTACTCGAGAGCAATGCCAGGTAAGTAATCAGGCAAGGGGTTCCAGGCAGTTAGTTCCTGACTGGAAGCTTGATTCCAAGTGCTGACTGATTGCTCTCTTTCTCCTTGTCTTGTAGGTAAGAACAAGGGCAAAGGAAAAGACAGGGAAAAAGCATGATATGGGATACTCTTGCTTTTGATCCTGATGATATGAGATACTCTTGCTCTGGTGTGGCTGGTTTGCATAGGTATTATTAGGGGGGAAGAAAGCTGAGTATTTCGAGAGGCTTCGTTGGAAGTGCCCTCTCAGATATATGAGGAAGGGTTGATCATTTTTGCAGGTCTGCCTGTCCGTGGAGGATGGAGGGACAGGGTTATATAGGAGTCTCCCTAACAACAAATAGTAATAATTGTTTTCCTTTTACCCTTCTTGGTCATAGCAATGTAGTGGAAGCTGCAAGCTTCACATGTTTTAACTTTGTCAGAGCACTTTGAAAAAAGTGGTCTGTGGTATCAGGAAAGCTGATGTTGCGTGTGAAGATTGCAGACAAGCTTTATCCAAGGAAATATGGCTCTCGAAGTTCGGAGAGCGATGCCTCTTCGATTTTCGAACAAGCAATCATGTCGGGGATCTGGCTCTCGAGATTCAGAGAACGGTGCCTCTTCGATTTTTGAGGAAGCAATCCTATTGGGAGTCTGGCTCTTGAGATTCGGAGAGCGGTGTCTCTTTGATTTTTGAGAAAGTAATCTTGTTGGGAGTTTGGCTCTCGAGATTCGGAGGGCGGTGCCTCTTCGATTTTTGAGCAAGTAATCCTGTTGGGAGTCTGGCTCTCGAGATTGGGAGAGCGGTGTCTCTTCGATTTTTAAGAAAGTAATCCTGTTGGGAGTCTGGCTCTCGAGATTCGGAGGGCGGTGCTTCTTCGATTTTTAAGCAAGTAATCCTGTTGGAAGTCTGACTCTCGAGATTCGGAGAGCGGTGCCTCTTCGATTTTTGAGCAAGCAATCTTGTTGGGAGTGTGAGTAAAGGTTGGGCATTTTTGCCAGTCTGCCTTACCACAGAGCACAGAGGTTGACACACATAGAGACTTTCAGTTATCAAGCAGTGGTGCTGTTCCTTTACCCTTTGTGTGGGTAATAATATGGTAGCTGGACCTTCAAAATTTATGTGTCTAAACTTTGTCAGAGATCTTTGGCAAAGTTATCTGTGGTACCCGATGAGCTGATGTTGCGTGTGGAAAGTGGTGCCTCTTCGATTTTTGAACCAACGGTCATGTTGCCCTTTCTTTTATAAAGGCACCAATTGTGTGCAAGAAGTACATTCAGAGAGTTATTGCTTGTAGGAATTTTCCCCTTATTTTTTGTACTTCAGAGATTTATTGGACCTCATTTCTCCTTCATCATTTCTGAAAATATTTGGCCCATCCGACCGTCGTTTTGACTTGAACTTTAGTGAAGAGGCAGCTATGTCTCCTCAAGACAACATATGGCGCCCATCCTTCTTATCCCCTACTGGTCCTTTTACCGTTTGAGACTTTGTGATGAAGAATGATATGACCGCTGCGGTTGTGGCCAGGAACCTTCTCACTCCCAAAGATAACAGACTATTTTCCAAACGGTCTGATGAGTTGGCTGTTAAGGATTCCATGGCTTTCAGTGTTCAGTGTGCAGGTTCTGTGTCTAATATGGCCCAACGCCTATTTGCTCGAACCTGCCAAGTTGAATCATTGGCGGCTGAAGTGATAAGCCTCAAATAAGAGATTAGAGGGCTCAAGCATGAGAATAAACAGTTGCACAAGCTCGCACATGACTATGCTACAAACATGAAGATGAAGCTTGACCAGATGCAGGAATCTGATGTTCAGATTTTACTTGATCATTAGAGGTTTGTGGGTTTGTTCCAAAGGCATTTATTGCCTTCGTCTTCTAGGGCTGTACCGCTTAATGAATCTCCAAATGATCAACCTCCGATGCCTCCTCCTTCTGGGGTTCTGTCCAGTACTGAGGCTCCGAATGATCATCCTTCGGTGCATTCTCTTTTTAGGGCTCTGCCGACTGCTGAGACTTCTCCTAAGCAACCTTTGTGAAGGCTCCCTCTTGTTTGTTTATTTTGACTCATGTATATGTACATATTTGTAACTTATCGGAGATATCAATAAATAAGTTTTGCTTCATTTCAACGTACTGTGTTAAATACACCAAAGTCTTTTTCACTAAGTTTTTTGAATTTTTTCTTTTGTTGAAGCTTGTATGTTGAAGCTTTGTGAGTGAAGCATGTAGGTTGATGTAGTGTTCCCTTAATTTTCCGAGTGAGGAAAACTTCTCGGTTGGAGACTTGAAAAATCCAAATCAGTGAGTGGTCGTGAGACTTCCGAGTATCAAGGTGCAGTAGCATATGGTAGGAGTCCCCCAAGTCTCCGGTCGAGGGAGTTGACGAAAGATGTGTCTTGCTAGTAGCCAAGCTTCTAAAGTAACAAAACTTCACCATTTTCCTTTCTAAGTGGTAGCCCAAAACTCCTCCTTCATCTATATATATAAAGTGAGCACCTTCAAATGGTGAAACATTCAAAATACCTTAAATTGTCTTTTTAAGAATTTCATAAATTACAATTGAACCAAAAGAAGCTAAAGTATTTAACCATATTTTTATTTTGAATGAATTTAATATTTAAAATTATAGAAAAAAAAAAAAAACAAAAACAAAACCTCCCACGTTAATGGGTGGTTTCACGTCATTAATTCATTTTTTTTAAATTTTTTTTAAATATGTAAATTAATTATTTAAATAAAAAAATATAAGAAGGCCAATTGCCACATGCGTATGCGTGTGGGAAGAGGCTAGTATATATAAAGGGAGAATGCCAAATAGGTGAAGCATTTCAAAATGCCAAGAAAGGCCCTTTGTTTTCTTCAGAACCAAACCCAAAACATTTCAAAAAATGAGGATAAACTGGTAAAAAAACAGTCCGCACAGAAATATGTATTGAAAAACCACCACGTTCAGGACGTTCAGTTTTCAAACCCCCCACAACCTTTTATCATAACTTCTCTGCTTCATTTGTTCAGTTACAAAATTCTAATCTCCGTACATCGATCCACCTCCTTCCCAATTCGAGCACTGCTTTTCTCTTCTTTCTAATGCTTCGTCTTCGTTTCAGATCAGCTTGCTTTGACTCAGCCACTCCCGCCAGTTCGGAATCGCCACCACCGCGGCGTACCGGAAGGATGGAGGAGATACGTTTTTCATCGAAGAAAGCATTTCGTGGACGTCCCTCGGTGTGTTCGATAAGGTTTCTCAAGCTCTCTACAACGCCGGCCTCAGCCAACCGTCTCTGGTTCAAGTGCCAAGTTCAGTCTTAACCTTAATTTTTTCTTTCATTCCTCAATTTTTTCCATCCGAGCAATGAAAAATTGAACTGGGTTTTTAGATTATTGATCCCAATTTGTGAAATTGCTTCAAAGTTTGAATTTTTTTAGTAATGCGTTTTGCGTTTTTGGGATTTTAGGCTGCTAGCATACTGTCTATACTTTCAAGGAATGATTGTTGCAGCTGAAACTGAATCACCACGTTCAGGATGGATGTTGTTTTGATCAGGGATTCCCCTCATTGGGTTCTCATTGCAATTCAGTTTTACAGTAAACGCAATTCCGGTTCCTAAAGCTCAAAGAGAAGGTCGGCAAAAGTACGTTTAGAGCTATATATGTCGTGTTCCTTTCGAGTATGTGATTGGGCTTTTGTCTTTCTTCCATTTTAGTCATCTGTTTTCCTTTCAATTTTCACGAAAAAGAAACTTTAGATGTTAAATTTTTCAGTGCACAGGTTTATATTTAATCCCTCCTATCTGTAATGGAAGTTTATAGGGTTTATGCTTCGGTTTATAGTGATGGAAATAAAGTTGTTGCGATGAAGACCTCTTTCACTCTCTGAAGCCCAGAACGGAGTGAAACGGTAATTCTCCGCGCCTTCTCCTTTTCCATTGAAGAGTTTGAATACTTACTTTTCCTACGTTTTTCTCATTGAATTTTCTTTTAAGTGTTTTATTTAAATGGGTTTGACACATTTACCAGACATATGAAATTAGAAAACTAAACTTTGGGACTGTGTGGCACAATAGCCAGTAGACAAAAAGGAATAGATTGGATTAGTTGGACTCATTTTTTACTGCCTCACTGCAGAGATTATCACTTCCCTCCCCAATTTTTTACTAATCTCTGTCCACTTCTTCTAATTATTTAAATGCCTTAATCTCTTGAATGCTTCTTCTTTGCTTTTTCGTCCATTTTCGGTTTTCAACACATTTTGTAATTGTGAAACAGGTATTGGATTGATTTTAGTGAGTGGGTTTTTTTGTTAACGTTGATCAGATTTGGACCTTTGTGTCGATCGAAGTCATTGCTGGTGGGTTAGCTGAGGTATGATTGCTAGCTTTCTCTCTTGGTGCAATTCAAAATGTTTTGAGTTGTTATATGGACTTAAGATTTAGTAAGTACTTGCCAAAAGTCATGGGATTTCGAAATATCGATGTCTTGCTTGCTTATTAGCTTAAACATATAATCTAAGAACCAAGGTAGTCCTTTTTTCACTGCCTCACTGGATACAATGTGTTGATGAGTTACACAACAGAGTCGTGTGTGAGAATCTGTGCCTGCAACCTCATTGGTTAGGCAGGCCTTGGTGTTTGCTGTTTTGGGCAGTGTTTAATCCATTGCCAGTGGTGCACTACTTTGTGATACCATGGACGAGCAAGAAAGTAATACAAGAGTTTAATTGCATAATTACACGGAAAAATAAGTTCATATAATTTTAACTATTCTGAAGTGAATCTTCTACTGGTCCGGTTCAATGTTGTCCCAGTTTACATGGGACGATGCAACACTTATATGACACTTTTCTTATCGGCTGTATATGGATCATTGTTGACTTATGGATTAATATGCTTATGTATATGTATACATATGTTTTGATTCCTGTTAAACTTTGTTTGTATTATTTTTGTGTTTGTCATTGACAGTAGCTTTGAAAACATTCATATTTATCCTATGGATTCTGCAGCCTTCTAATTTCAAAGACGATTCCAACCCCATTGGTGAATTTCAAATGCCTTAATCTCTTGAATTCTTTCACCTATTTGGCATGTCAATTGTCATTATTAGCTATTAGATGAAGTACTTGAAATTATGACGTTCATTTTGAACTCAAAATTGAAGAAACACAAACACATCTGTAACTTCTACACATGTTATATTATGCAACATATACATGCACATATATTCTAACCCTTGCACTGTGTTGTTGCACGTACAAAAAAAGAAAAAAAGAAAAAAAGAAGAAAAAAGACTAATGTGCTGCTCACTATAGTTTAATTAAATTGATGATACACATTTGAGGACATGATTTTTAGGATAGTATCACTTTCATATGTTAGTTAACTGTTACAGTAATTTTTTCCCTTATGTGCTCATTTCTTTTGTCAAATAAATTATTGTGCTTTTTTATTTTTTTTTATTTTTTATTTTTCGAGACTTGGGAGCAGCCTCTCCATAAAATGGGGGTAAGGCTAGCCGACATTCACCTCTCCCAGACCCTGCGTAAAGCGGGAGCCTTGTGCACTGGGTACGACCTTTTTTAATACAAAAAGTTTTCAACTGGAGTTCAACATATCAAGTATGGAGAGAAATGATAGGAGCAATATAGCACATATTGTCATCTTCTTAAATAAATTGTTCTCAATGTTAGGATGTCTTTTTCCTCCGTTTGGGGTTTTGTCCTACTTGGTACGAACAATATTTCAATTCTATCAAATATTCTCCCTCAAATTCTGTAAACTTTGAATTAATACATGATGATCACCTTTCTTTTACGTTTCTAATAAATCTCATAAAGAAAGAAAATAATGAAATACAAACAAGTGAAGCAATTCACGCAGATAAATACGTTTAAAATGTGAGTCGCGCGCAGTGCGCTGTGATTAAAAAAAAAGGCCTTTCGCAATCATTTCGTGTCAAGGCCTTGAAATTGTATAATGGTACAAGATTATTGTGTTACTGTACGAGGCCTCGACATTATAGAGCCTTGAAATTATCTCTTTCCCTTTTGGTTTTTGACAGATTGTATTAGATTTATTGTTGTTCGTTTGATGAAGTTCTCGATTCAAGAACATATATATTTTCAGTTTCTACTATTTGGTTTTTGTTGAGTTTTAAGTCTCAGTTGTAGTGATGTTTGTGTGTTTCTAAATTTCTTTCAATAGCTTACTTTTAGTTTGCTTTTGTTTGTATATATTTCTTCCGAGCAATTTTTCAAGTATTTTTCAAGTTGCATTCATACGAGCTATACGAAAAGGATATGTATTTGAGACAATTTGGTGAGAAGAGCGTCCTAAATTATTAGTACGATATCTACTCTTGCAAAGTAAGCCGACATATTTGAGCTTTCTGTTTTTTCCTATTAAAGGCTGCATAATGAAAGGACTGATTGCCTTTGTTACTAATATTTATGGTGTCAGTGTTGTGGTGTAAACAAAAAAATAATTTTAATTTTCCCTACCAAATACTATGATGAATCCTATGTCAAATGATGTATGTGGTTTTGAGATATGTAAAAGATCTATTGTGGTACTTATCTGTATTTGACTATTTTGCTTGGTAGGTAACTGTGATCTCCATGCTTATTGTTTTGTGTGGGTTGTTAGAAAATACTCCAGACAGTGAGCAAGTTTTATTCGATATTGAATTTGTTAAAAGAAGAAGAAAAAGCATTTTTCTCAATAGAATGCAAATTTCATTCAACTTGGAGAAATACTATTTGACCACTCAGACTTAATTAGTTTGTTTGTAACTTAAAACAATAGTGACACTATTAATATCTAAACTAAATGGATAACACTGGCAATGAGCAATGACTTTTGAGTAATCTGAGGGTTAAAACATCCTCAGATTACACATTTTAGTTCATCTTTTGGCAATGAGCAATACAGTCCTGCAAGTGGCCCTTGACCACAGTGATGGAAATATGTTGACCCCTTGCATGATGGTATGGGTTCGAACTCCGTCGGTGGCTAATATAACATTTAATCTAACAAAATCTATCATTTGACAAAAAAAAGAGCAATACAGTCTCATGCGGAAATAATGAGAGTCTTTGTACGCACTTCATTCGCGATTTGGGGAAAGAATCTAATCCCCTTTTGAAAGAGTCCCTCGATTTCGATTACATTTTAAGTTTTTCCCTAAATAGTTGGATGAGGCCATCTCCTTTGGCAATGACATCTTATCTATTTTTAGTAATCACTTAAGAAATATAAGAATATCTAAAGAACACATTTTTGGGGTGCGTAGAGCCGTGATGCAAAAAAGCCTCTCGCATGTGCGTGAGCGCGTGCAGAGAGGTTAGTGTTATTAAAGCGCTTGTGAATACGGTGGATCATTTGGTATTTTTTTTTCAATAGGAATTCCATTAACAAAGCAGCATGGGAAGAAAATACAAAGAGACTCCTTCAAAATGGAGAAGATAAGCACAGCTCTGTATCGCCAACGATGCAGTCGCATGAGCTGCTTTGTTTGCAGACCTAGGAATCTAACTCCAATGAAGAGAAGAGAACAAGCAAGCATGTCTCCCTACTTCTTCCACTATTAGAATGATTTTCCACAAACCTTTCAAGTTTCTTTTCTGAATTATTTCCATAATATTTTCGAAAGGAGTAATACTAGGGAGATTCAATTTTGTAAACTAAATGACATGAAAGTTGGTGATTGGATTATTACTTAATCGTTGATAAACGTGCTCATTTTTTTATTTATGACACCTCATTTAGTTTGCTAATTTAGTCCACAAATTTAGGGAAGATGATCATCTCCAAATCCACTTTATGGGGATCCTAGGGATCCTAGTCGTTCATCATACGTCGTGCGGTTAGTTTTCGTCAGGTACTATTTGTGTTTAATTTTAAATAAAAAGGTCAAATGATTTCTAATCGCACGATACACGATGAATGACTAAAATGTGAGGATCCTTAGGATCCCCACAATTTGGATCCGGATGGAATCCAAATCCCAAATTTAGTCTTCCTAGCATTACTCTTTCGAAAAAGAACAACTCCACTGTTAACGTAAGTTGTCATTGTTTGTTTGATCAATTGTTTTCTAAACAATTTGAAGCACTCCTAATTCTGGAACTAATTATATCTGGGATTAGCCAGAATGATCGTAGGAGTGATGTAGGGTTTGATTATAGTGTGTGGGTTTATTGAATAATTTTAGTTTTATTATTAATTTTATCTTGTACTTGATGATAATTATGCAATAAGGTAAAAAAAGACAATTAACATTTAAAATTTAACTTGAGTAAAAAAATTACATAAGTTTAAATAAAATTATTTTTTCTTATTTTTTTGGGACCAAAATAGGATTTTAAGATATGCATAGAACATGCACATGTTCAACAGTATGAGAAATAGATTTTTTTTAAAAAACTTAAAATAACTAAATTGACCCTTAAATGGGTTATTGCCAAGGGACCAGGATCCTCTCCTGAGCAGATGGAGAGGATCCTCCTGACCAGGCTCATCGGACTGTTCATTTTTTATCCAACAGCTACAAACAGGTAGCCCCTCTAAAAGTTATAATAATTATAATCGTTGGATAAAAAATGAACGGCCCGATGGGCCTGGTCAGGAGGATCCTCTCCATCTGCTCAGGAGAGGATCTTGATCCATTGCCAAGTCCTCTCTCGCATCCCCTTTCGACGAACCCTAACCCCCAACGGGGCGAGAGTAAGAGGAAGGAGAAGAAGTTAAATTGGAATTGCTCTTCAACCCGTCTTACGACTCTTACCCACCTCTCTCTCGCTACTCAATCTCTCTACATCTATCACAATTCTCAAACAAAGAAACAAGAAGTTCAATTAAAGCAAATTAAGAAACAAGCGACTTCCATCTTCAGGAAAAGCTGATAAGTGCGGATTGAGGTTTCAATAATCTTGACGAGATCTGGGGCATGAACCATCAAATCAAATTCTTCTTCTTCTATGCCATTTTGAATTGGACCTGAACAAATTCACGAAGCCAAGTTTCTTAACATGAAAAGTACAGACATAATGATATGAATTTGGTAGTACATGAAAAACGGCTTTTGATTTAGTGCTTGTAAAGTGAACATGCAACCGTAGAAGTGACATTTGGATTGACACAAGAAGTGATTTGGGATCACTTAGACTTTTTCTGGGTTTTTGTTCTCTTTTTTCCAATCTTTGTCGTGCTTGAACTCTAAGGTTTCAGAGGTGTCGGGAGTTACCAAGTCCTGGTCACGGGGGAGACTAGGTTGGGGAAGGAGGTGTCGGGAGACATGGGGCTGGGTTAGTGGTGGGATTGAAGGGGATGCGAAATCGCCGAGCACCGGGGATGCGAGTAGGGATGGGCAACGGTTATGGCGGGCGGGTAACCGCGGTTACTTACTCATAACTGTTTATATCTATACCCGCATATACCGTTTACCCGTTGGGTAATTGCATAAATGTTTATACCCGTAACCTGATTATTGGTTGTACTCATTATTGATATAGTGAAAGATTGTTGTTGTTGTCCCGTGGATGTAGGCACATATTGCCGAACCATGTAAATTCTTGGTGTTATTTATCTTGGTTATTTGTTTTTCAATTTCCGGAGTATGTTCTTGTTTTTCCCATTCTTAAACGCGATATTCTCAACAAGTGGTATTAGAGCCAAGTTCGGCTGATATCCGTTTAGAATGGAGGGTTCAATTATGATGAAACTCACCCGCTCCAACTGGGTTACGTGGAAATCAAGAATGGAGGACATGCTTTATTGTAAAGATCTCCATAAGCCAATTGAAGGTGTTAAGAGCAAGCCAGAAAATATGTCTGATGCTAATTGGACCAAGATGAATTGTAAAACTATTGGTACGATTAGACAATGGGTGGATGAGAGCATCTATCACCATGTATCTAAAGAAATTGATGCGCAAGCTCTTTGGAAGAAGTTAGAATCCCTCTTTGAGAAGAAGACCGCTGCCAAGAAAGCATTCCTTATCAAAGAGCTTGTCAACATGAAGTATGCGGAAGATGTTAGTGTAACCGAGCACTTGAACAACTTTCAGAACGTGATCAATCAGGTAGCCACTATGGGTTTGAATATTGAAGAAGAGCTGCTAGCACTTTTATTGCTAGGATCCTTGCTAGATAGTTGGGAAACCTTTGTCGTAACTGTAAGCAATTCGGCTTCTAATGGCGTACTGTCTATGGATGCTGTTAAGGATAGCATGTTTAATGAAGAAACAAGGAGAAAAGCTTCAGGTGCAGGAGCTAGACAACTCTTTGTCATAGAGAAAAGAGGCAAAAATTCCGGTGAGACGAGATTCAATGGAAACTGCCACTATTGTGGGAAAAAGGGTCACATGAAGAAGCATTGTCGTAAATGGAAAAAAGAACAAAAGGATGGGAACAATATTGCAGGTGTTGTGACTTACGATGAAGAGCTTATTTGATGCAGATGATTGATGGTTTTTTGGCAAAGAAGTCTATAATTGCCTTTGCCAATGACGATGGGTATTGCGATCAGAGGGAGCCTGGTCAAGAGAAGTCTAATCAAGAGGGTCTTGGTTAATGAGTAGTTCGATCAAGGGGAGCTTGGTTATGGGTAGTTCAATCAGGGGGAGTCTAGTCATGAAAAGTTCGATCAATGGGAGTTTGGTCAAGAGGAGCAATCCTATTTTGGTATGCCTTCCTCATGGTCTGGAGGGGGAGATTGTTGGGTTTTTTCCAACCCATTATAAGTTGTCCTAAGTCTATTGGGAATTAATAGTCTTAGAGGATTAAATTGTTTTCCCAATTGGAGTTGTTTTCCCAATTGGAGTTAGTTTCTCAATTGGAGTAGGATTCATAGCTAAATTCCAATTAGGATTAATAATCCTTATTGAAGAAGACCTTTATTATATCTATATAAAGGGGCTATTGTACTAGTTTTGGGAGGGAGCAAAACAATAAATTGTATACCACTCAAGGGATTAGAGTGAGAGAATACTGTAAAGTGTGTGCAAGAGAAAAGAAAAGAGATAGTGCATTTCTTGTTCTTGTTCTTTCAGGTTTTTCAACGGTTATCCATACCTATAATCGTGTACCCATTTAACCATAACCATTTACTCATTTAACCATAACTATAACCATTTACCCATTTTTGAACCCGTTTATCTTTTTTTACCCATTTACCCATTTTTTCACCCGTCTACATGTTTTTTTTAACAACTTGAAAATTACAAAATAAAAATTTGTCATAATTTTCATTTTCTGACAATTAAACACCGTTATAGGTACATTTTAGCATGCATTTCCCTATTTTAATCATTTAAGTCCTCATACAATTCCAATAATTGAAATAATAGTTTACGAACGTTATTTTTCTGCTACACCCAAGCAAGTCTTTAATTATAATTCATATGATTACAAAGTAAAGCTTCTAAAAACATAAAGTAGTCATTATCTCTTGAATACTAGATGATTCAAAACTCCAAAATATTCTGAAACTAAACACTTTCGAACACGTTCAATCACAAAGTATCATCGACTCATTGTCACCAAAAGCGGCTTACAACAAAAGAAATGTATAAATTGAATTAGTATCCCATTTAGGAACACCGACACCAATTAGCATGAACATAATGCATTATGCAAAACCAACTGATATAAAACACCACTCAATCAACTGTTCGTTTACTAACAAAATGGCATTATGCAAAACCAACTGATATAAAACACCACTGATATAACAGTGTGCTGCTTGTATGGCAATTTCATGAATCAGTTTATAACTTTATAGACATGAATCGGTTACATTAACACAAAACCAAAATGGAAAAAGTAGTCATAAGACCATCATCCTCTCACCCACAAAACCCTATTGGCCCCTCCAATTCAATTTCGGTGGAATTCAATTTTGTGATTTCTCTGAGGGTTTTTAATTTTTTTTTTAATTTTACATATATTAAATTAAATGGGTAAATGGATATCCGTTATAACCGCGGGTAATACCTATAACCGATGGATACTTGTTATAACCGCGGATAATACTTATAACCGTCCATTTAAATTTCACGGATAAACGGTTATACCCATAACCGTTTATTTGTCTAAACGGTTATCCATAACCGTAACCGCCAACTTTAAATGGGCGAGTAACCACGGTTACCCAAATCCATGGGTATTTTGCCCATCCCTAGATGCGAGGTCAGCAGAAGGGGCGGTGAGATCAATGACGGAGGAGAAATTGGTAGAAGAAACCTTGTTTTTTGTGAACAAGTTAAAAATACGCACTATATACACTGTATGTACATTATAGGTACACGATATGCACATGATATGCTCATAGATCTGAGCTCAATCCAAAAATCCAGAGTTCACAGCTCTTTTTTGAAATCAGAAAATGAAGCAATGAGATGTAAGTATAAGAGAATTGTTATTGGCATTCCAAAAATCTCATTTTCATCATTTCACTTTGTGCATGGAGTTTGCATGGCCGATTTGTTCTATTTTGATACCAATATTACTAAAATGGCCAATTTATATCAATTTCCCTAATAATTTGGTTTGAATTTGTGTTTGGTAAGAATCCAATATAGGATTTTTTAGTTTCAAATGAAGAAGAATAGTACTAGACTGTAGTAGTAAGTGACTCTGAAATATGTAGTTAGATTCTAAGGGCATGTTTACTTAACAAAAATGGAATAAATAAGGAATGGGAGAACTTAGAAA